GGAGCAACGCCGAGGGTTGCAATCCCGTTGCCAGTCCCAGTCCGGTACGGGGACGACACTGAGGGTTGCGATCCGTTGCCAGACACGGAAAAAGACAAAAAAAAAAAAAGAGAGATGAAGGTATAACATTGAGCCCTCTAATTTTAGAGGTAAGGAAAAGAAGGAAGAACCAGCAAGAGAGACTGGGATACAGGAGTAAAGAGAAAAACTAGAAGATTGTGGGTGGAATTCTGGAAAAGGGGAAGTGGGATATTATAAGAAAGAGGGGTTCTCAGAATATTTCCTTTGAGGTCTTTAAGTATATCTTGTCTTCAGCAACTATCATAGTACCTACATTGTAGTAAGTGCTCAACAGAAATGTAATAATTGGGTGAGCCCAGCAGTCTGACACCTTTAGGGTAGGGCCTTAAGTCAGAACTTTATCAGGTAATGTATTACCTCATTTAAAAGAGGAGTCTATGCCTGATGTCTCAGGAAGTTTAGCTAATCCCACCTTCTGGACATGTCTCACATTTGGCTCAGAATAAGGTGCTTGTGGAGTACCCACATAAATAGAAATTAGGGACTTTATCAAGCTTACAGAACAGATTGCATGATTGTTGTGCTGTTGCTTGCTAATAAAAATTTGTGCTTGTAACAAGAAAAGAAAAGAAGCAAAGCCCCAAACGCAAAGGGTTAAATCTATTCACTAGTTAGTAATTGTTTGCTAATCATTCATTTTCTAAATATATTCTTTTATTTACTTGTTTATTAATCAAACTTTATCAAATAAGCCATTTTGGCTACTTTAAAAATTTGATCAGAGGAATAAAAATGATGATTATGAGTTATTACATGCCTAGCTATATAAAAAAAGAGAGATGTCTTTTTTAGAGTTTAAAACTAGTTTCAGACTTACAACTGTCATATTTACATTTATTTAAGGTTCCAGCATCTTGGACAGAGCTGTTATTGAACACAATTTGTTGTCTGCAAGCAAATTATATAATAATATTACCTTTGAAGAACTTGGAGCTCTTCTAGAGATCCCTGCAGCTAAGGTATTTTCTTGATTCCAATATATAAAAAGGAAGTTAAGAGACAAAATTATTGAAGTTATGAGAAAATAAAATATATAATTGATAAATATTGGCAACTATAACAAATATTATGCATAAAAGGCCTCAAGTAAATGGAAATAAACTATTTAAATGTTAAAATAATAGCGTAATAAAATTGTCTTAGGGTTTTTATGGTTTCTCAAATTGTGTTTTATGGCAAAGTGACCTAGAATGGAAATCTTAAAGGAGTTCCAGATTATGACACTCAATTTTGTGAAAATGTCTTTGTTTAGTGTCTATTTAAATCCACTGCATAGTGGTTTCTAATTTCTGACTAATGTAAGATTTTGATACATGCCTTAACTTTTTTCTGCACTAGATCGACTTAAAAGTTAAATATTTTTCATCTCTATGAGAGAATGTCTGTGGTAATACTCCAGGCTGTTCTCTTGTAATTTCTGCACTTGATTTAACTTAAGAAGTCAACTGACTTACTAGGGAATTTAATTTCATTCTTTGTCTTAGGGTTTGGTTTGCTAGGTATAAATTTTAACAAAGTACTAATAGTATTTAGAGGGTGTTTCAGGTATCATTTACAAAACATTCTCTTAATATGAAATGATATTAAAAGGAAGCAGTCAACCTTACTTTAATCTAACTGGCAAACCTGAAGTCATGCAGTTATAGATCACATTCCCTTTTATCTGGTAATGCAATTTTAATTTAGGATTTTCTAATAATTCCTTTATTTGTATATGTTCAATATACAGTAAAGGAAATAGAACAATTTGGGAATCAAGGCTTAAGTTATCATTAAAAGATGATTGCTTGGGCTGGCTGGTTAGCTCAGTTAGTTAGAGCATGGTGCTGATAACACCAAGGGTCAGGGTTCGATTCCTATATCAACCAGCTGCCAAAAACAAACAAAAAACAAACCAAAAAGGTGCTTTCTTCCTAGTCTTTGAGGTATGATCCTTGGTGAGACTAAGAAGAGTGAATATGCTTTTACTAATAAAAGCTAGTCATGATCTGTTCAGCAGTGATTTGGGGTTGCTTGTGAAGATGGTCAGAATTAATAAATGACCAAATCATAATCCAGTTTGTTTACACACACTAAACCTTAACTATGTCTTCAGGAGCTATGTCGAGGACCTTTTTCTGCCCTTTGATTTTTAAATCCTTTCAATTCCTTTTGAATTTGAACATCCATTCCTCCTTTCAATTTTTTCTTTAAAAATTACTTAAAGAGTTTTTGGGGTGATATATGCTATGGAAATTGGAATGAAATAAAACAAGAAAATCTAGTTTGTTTTTTGAAGTGTGGATCACAGGGAGAAGAAAAATTGTTAGTTTTACCTTGAGCAGAGGAGAAAATTGGTAAAAGAGCTAGATTCTTGTCCCAAATTTCACAAGAAAAACAAATCTCAATTAACTTAAAATAATAGGTTGTACCCAGAAGGAATTAGGGAAATAGGCAGATTTACAATATTTATTCTTCTAATGAATGGCAGATGAATGCATATGTAAGGCTTAGTGATGGGTAGTTAAAACAAAAGCTTCCAATTCTTTTATCATATGTGAATAACTGTTAGATATGATAATTAAAGTTTCTGAGAGTTCGTTGTTTTTTTTCAATAGGCAGAAAAGATAGCATCTCAGATGATAACAGAAGGACGTATGAATGGATTTATTGACCAGATTGATGGAATAGTTCATTTTGAAAGTAAGAGGTTTAATATTTCCTTCATAATGAAATGGCAGTGAACTGTTGGATATTTGTGATTGAAACATGAACACTTTTCATGACACAGAATCTTACTACTGGAATGAGTTTATTTACAAAAAATATATATTTTGAAGAAGTTATATTCATGAATCTACTTAATGCAGCATTTCCTAGAGGCTGGCCAGTAAGGGATCCAAACACTTGACCTTGGTTATCAGCACTATGCTCTATCCAAGTGAACTACCCGGCCAGCCCAATGATGCACTTTTTTTTTTTTTTTGGCAGCTGGCCGGTTTGTGTATCCAAATCCGTGACCTTGGTGTGGTAAGGCTGCACTCTAACCAACTGAGCTAACAGGCCAGTCCCTTCTAATGCAGCATTTTCTATGCTAAGGAAAACTTTGGAACTCGGATTGTTGTATCAATTCATTTATTTATTATTCAAGCATTTATTGATCACATACCAGTATTGGGCAAATGGAAATGACAGTTGCATTTCCCGTTCAGCAGCTCATTAAACGAATGGTGGAGGCAGACAGGCAAGTGGATCTCTTGACCTTCTCATTGTCTAATACCTTCTCAGCTCCTTATTCCCACCTCATTTACACCCTGGACATTGCTGTACACAGAACTCCTGCACTTGTAAAATTTTAATTTGAAATATCTCACTCTGATTGATCATAACCTCGTTCCTGTCTCCCTAGAGGTCTGTCTCAGTTATTCCTGCTTCAACTCCTCCTTCACCACATTGGAGCCTCTGGTCCATTTCTTCCAGTCAGCACAACCCTCTTTTGTCTTTACTTCTCTTCCTATTTGGATTGGATTCTGTCATCCATCACTTTTTTACAGGCACCCCAGAACACTTGCCTGTTGAGTTTTAGTTCCAGCCGTCCAGCAAAACTTCACCGTGAATGAAGCCATTCTCTGTCTTTTCTGTGCCTATACAAAGGGTCTTCAAAAAGTTCATGGAAGGATTGCATTATCTTTTAATTCAGTTTTTCCATTAACTTTTCAAACCTCGTGTTTTAGTAAGCAGCATTGCTGGAGAAGAGTCAGGCAGCAGACAGATTGATAATCACCATCAATTCAAGGTCACAGCTCCTCAACACTACCTGGCATGATATAATTCTCTAGTCCACTCTTTCTCCTACTTTGCAATGACTATTTTAGATTTCATTTTTCTTTTTGTCTTTTTTACTGACCGGCAACGGGATCGCAACCCTCAGTGTTGCATCCGCACCACGCTCAGCCAGTGACTGAGCAGGAACCGGTCTCCACATGGGATCCGAACCCTCGGAGGGAGCGCCACCGTGCTCCCAAGCGGCGCACTCTCCAGTGCACCACCGGGCTGGCCCTAGATTTCATTTTTCTTAAATCTCTGACTTTTCTTCTCCTTCATTCTCAGCAGAAAATCTTCTTTCCTATTTCACAGGAAATAGGAAAACTGTCTCCCTCCTCCCACCAAAAAAATTCTGTTTTAGGGACCTCAGGTTAGCAATTATTTTTGTCTGTTTTCATTCAGCTTCTTTTTATTAGCATTTAAACATACTTAGGTCTTTCCCATTTTAACAAGAATCCTTTTATCTTTTAGGCCTCATCTTAACTTTTCAAAATATCTAATAGTGTTGATTACTCACTTCTTTTCGAACACCCCCCACCCCATGCCTGCCTTGACTTCTGTCATCTCTTCAACTCCATTTTCCTGCTTTCCCTCCTATTTCTTTAGATATTCTTTGCAGTCATCTTTGTAGATTCTCTATTGCCTTTAAATTTAAATATTGGAG